ATAAATCTTTGTTTGAAGAGTATTTTTTTTTAACTTGAAGGGACAATGGTAAATAAAAACCCATGATTTGCTATATCTGGAGAGTCATTGCAACTAATTCAATCAAATTAGGTCATTAATAAGTGAGTACAGTTAGTTCAAATTTATTTATACTAAGAAAAATTCCAGTTTATTTGTTTTTGACTTTAATAAGCAGTTCGCATTGCCTCAGGTCTTTGATATTGGTGTAAGGGTCGTGTACTCAATGGGAGTATGTCCAGATAAAAAAACCGTGATTAAACTTAGTTCAAATTTATTTAGACTGAACAATATATCACCCTCTTTTTCTTGTGTCCAATGAGTTGTGTGAATTACTAAAAAAACTTTGGCATTATCATTAGCGTAGTACAGTGAATAAAGGTACGTGCAGTTAAGCTACTAATGATTCATCATACTTTAAATTTAGACTGAGAAGCGTAACAGCGTTTTTGTTGTTGAATCCAATGAACACTTTGAATTACCTACGGTCTTTAGCATTGACATATTAAAATGTACTTGCAAACAGTTAATATTTCCTAATACTGATGTAAATCTAATAAGCACTGCCGTGGCGAGCATCACTATCAGCAGGGCTCTAAATATATCCAAGATGAGTATATTCGATCTAATATATTTTATTTTTGTAATACAGGGTATTCAGGGGTCGCCAGAGTTATGCTCGTGGCAGTATTGCTGGCAAGTGTGTTTCCCAGTTTAAAAAAATATAAAAATGATTATATAAAAAATATTATCATGTCATTTGTTTTACTTTGTTACTAAGTTTTTTGTGAGGTTATGTCTATAATAAATATACAAAACAACTTTTGATCTCAGCCAGAAAATATTTTATTATTGAAGGGATTATGTAAAGAAAAAGTTTACCTACCACTTTCTATCGAAAAATAGTGATAAATCATATTGTATTTAAATAATCAATAAACGAAAATAAAATATACAAAAAAAAATTATGTATATTTTTTAATTTGATTATTTGTAAATCTTACATGCCAATTTTCTGATTCACCGCAAATATTTGCAATGTAGATACTGAGCAGTTGGCAGAGGGGAGAGAAGGGTGACGAAATTACTTTCGCTTTATGCTGCACGGACTTCTTTTCGATACGATGTTAATTTATTTCAGATTTGCGTATGCATTATGAAAAATACAATATTTAACATTCCCAAAAATCTTATAAGTTTTTATTCGTATATGTATGTTTATGTAAATACTTGATTTGTTTAAAGTTATGTTAACATTAACATTAAGATTAACATTAGCATTAACATTTCTGCTTCATTAATGAGCGCAAAAAAGAGATTTAAAATATGAAAATAAATTCCTAAGCGCAGAGTGACATACAAAAGCCCACATGCTCGGCTTTGCTTCGGTTGATATTGTAGGAGGGCTAAGAGTAAAATAAATATTCATAATAAACTAAAATATTAAAAAAAAAGTTTTCAAGAAAATCACTTTCTATTTTTCTAAATGTTTAAATAATTAATAAATGCTAATTTTTGTGAAATCGTTATGAATCGATTTATAAAATTTTTCTGCTTAATTTTTGTGGAATGCGGCATGTGTGAGGCACTGTTTTGGCTATTGTAACTTATACCATATACCCAATACTAGGTCTGCCTTTATTTATTTTATTCATTTATTTAGTCTTTTTATTTAATTTTGATTTTTAAATTTCTTGGTGAAATTGTAAATATTATTTTAGCTTTTAAATTTATTTATTAATAACACAAATACAAATAATAGAAATAAATGTGGTTTATGTTAGATTTTATTGAAGGCAGAGAATTACCAATACCAATACAAAACAAGTCTTATGCAAAATTTAACCCACTTGCGCTTCAATGCAAGGCACTTGGCCAATTTCTTATCAGTAAGCAACCAACTAACTGATTTCTTAAACCAAATTCCATTTTTCCAGAAACGCTTCTGGTATTTATGTGTTCTTAAGAATTCATTTGATTTGCACTTAAAGCAAAAGAAACAAGAGAAGATACATTTTTTTTATATGCTCAAGTGATTGGTAGAAAGTTTTGTTGAATCACGAAGTCTGTTTTTTTTCTTCTTAATATTTTTGTATTATATTTTGAATTTTTTTTTTAACAATCATTACGGTTTATATTTTTCACATATGCATATGAGGAAGCACAAACAAAAACGTCTAAAACAGTTAGCCAACTCAGTATGGACTTATGTGGACTAATAAAGAAATAAAATAAAATTTATAAGAGCTACAAAATTAGAAGCACTGCAACACAGTAACGCTGAAGAAATTCGAACGAACCTCTTTAGATTTCGCACTTTTTGTGTGCGCATATTTCAGTGTTGGCGCTGTGTTAAGTGCTAAAAGCAAAAGTAGTAAAAATAATAACAATAACAACGACAATAACAATATTAATGAAAAGAATCACATCGATTGCAACAACAACAACAAGAACAACAACAACAACACTCATGCTACTTAACTTATCAGTGTAGTGGATTTACGAGTGTCATTCATGGCGACTCAAACTACTTATGTATGTTTACGGTACTCGTTGTGGCAACGAGTTGCAGCATGTTTGATTTGGTCAATTTGATTCTTATTTAGTTTTTTATTTCTTACTCTCTGCATTTTGAACCAATTGTGCTAAGCAATTATTTTTACTAGAAGCTCATATTAAATATGGCTATGGCTAGAGGCCAAACATAGCAATCGAGCTTGTTGTTGCTGTAGTTTTTGCTGCTGACCATTATTATTTGATTTTTTGTTTTGGTTGATATTGAATTTGGTCACACACTTTCTATCCGTATGCGCAACAGCTACAGCAACAGCAACAACAAAAGAATAATAAAAATAACAACAAATTTATAACAAAAGCAATCAGAAGCAACAACAATATGAGCAAAAAATTTCACCGTGAATTACAAACTAAGAAAAAAAAACAACAATAACAAAAACAAAACAACCAATAAAGTAGCAGCAAAAAATGTCTGTTTCTTCCACACATTTTCCATAAGTAAATTCTTATTGCGACGTGCTCTGCCGCTGCGTACCGATCGCCTTTTAACGTCTCATGCTAAGCACATTCCTACGTGGATTTTAAGCTTACACGCTTATACATACATACGACAGTCAAGTGCTTGTAGTTTTTACAAATGTAAACTGTAAATTTACATGTGAACTTCATTAAATAATTTTGTCGTTTGTCGTTTGACGTTTGACGTTTGTTGTTACCAAAAATTATTTGTCTAATTTGTTTTTTCAATTTCACTCTTATTTCAACTTTTTATTTCAGCTTTTTGTTATTCTTATGTCCACTCTTTGTTGTTTCTTGAAATGTGTGTCATTAATTATTAAATAAATACTCGGCCGCTCGGTTGAGCTCTTCGCCTAGTCCATTAGGGTTCACTTATGATCACATAAGTTATTAACAGTTTTTGCGTGCAGAGTCAATATTGGCTTTAACCTTTGCGTTTTTATATATATTTTATTTTAATTTTTTATATATATTTTTTATTTTTTTTTTGTATTTTTTTGTATATTTCATTTCGTTTTCATTTTTTAAGGTGTAAAGTGGTGAAATTTAATGGCATTTCTTTAATGACTTTTCAACATGTCAGTGGCGTCATTAATTTTTGTTTTTTGATTATAAATAGTTTGGCTTATCATTATATCTATTATGTATTAAGATATTCACGTAATATGCACAGATTAATGTTTTATTAGAAGAAAATATTTTTTAGTTATGTTGCAAAATATCTCTGCTAATTAATGACGTGACTAAAAATGTTGTATCTTCATTGCTTGTTGTAGCTTCAAGCTACGATTTGCCTGCTAACTCGTTTTAGAGTTTACAACTGCTTAGAGGTCATTTTACATAAAAATAATAAAGATTGCCATAGGCGTCTTATGGTAATCATAGTAATTTTGCTAGCGGCGCATTTTTAATATAAGATTTGCGCTCTTGTCCAAAGGGCGCCTTCTTCGTTTTTACCTAACCCGCTTACATAATAGATTTTATAAATGGAATACTTTTGCACATACTTTGATGGATGATTAGATTTAAAGGAATCATATACCAAATCATAACAACCAACGTATAAGCTTACAACATTTTTGACAATAAAAATCTTTTCTTTATCATTATCTATAAAAATTATATGTAAATATTTGTAAGTTCTGTAAATAGACAATAAAATATATGCTGCTCTAAACCATGATTGTGCTGAAATGGATCCAGTATTTCTGTAAAACGCCCCTCTAAAGTAGTTTTAGTTTATCCAAATTATCTTAGAAGACTTTGTCAGAATGTTACAGAATAGATCCTAACTGTCGTGGTATTATTACTTCTAATAGTAATAGAAGTGTGCAACAAAAATGAAGTAGTTTTTCTTTTTTTTTTTTTCAACTGCTTTAGGTTAATTTGCGATCTTTAAGTTCAAATTCGCAACCCGTTTTTCTTTTAGACAACTGGGCAGTAAAGGGTTAAAGTTTAAAAATTTAGATCTTAAACGGTAAATAAAAAATATTCATTTTAAGAGACATGAATTACGTATTTTCGTGGTTGTCTTACAATTCTTCCCAAAAATTCTGGAGTTTGGGAAACGATGTCTTAGACAAAGATGTTTACTGAAAATACGAAATTAGTATCTCTTAAAATAAACATTCTTTATTAACCCTTTAAAACCATAATTTTTAAACTTTGAACCCGTGTTCAAATACTGAATGTATTCAGTAACCTTTAAAAGTTAGTGCCTTGTGTTCACTTTAAGTCGGTTTGCATGAAAAATGAACTGTCTTGATTGCACTACTCCTTTTTCTGGGAGTCTGTGTCCCTTTGATTTCTATTCTATTGTATTTCAGGTATTATTACACTGTTCAAGAAAAATATTTAAGTATTTCATATTGTAAAAATTTTTTATAACCTTTAATTCTGTTCACATCTTTAACATTTATATTCTCAACTTAATAATCTTTTTTTAGATGAGATTCCAAATAGCGCTTCTCTGCACTTTTCTCGCTTGTCTCGCTACAAGCAACTTAATTGAGGCGAAAAATGTTTATAGACGCGCAGATAAAATATCAGAACATTTTAAACAAATCAACTTGGCAGAGGATGAAATCGATCCAAATGTAGCGCCAGAACCCCCAAAAATTGAGCATGTAGAAACTGAAGACGTAGAAGATATTACAGGAACTGCACAACCAGAAGATGAAATAATTGATGAAGCTGCATTGGAAGCACTAAACAACGCAGATACGTCGGCTAATGAAATTATTAGTTCAAATGGTAATGAAGTAGAACCAGTAGCAGCTCCAGCTGCAGCAGTAGTGCCAACTGCAGCACCTGTTTCAAGTACTAGCCCTGCTATTTCTAGTACCACTCCGGTAAAAAATGAGGATGATCCCAGTGCTATTAGCAAATATTGCAAATGTTCAGATACGCACTGTGACTGTTGTCGTACTTTCGGTTTGCCATTGATTCCAATTCGTGGTCCTGGTTGTGCAAAAATTACATATTTAGGTGATGAAAAAATGTCAGTCTCCATAAAATATGGCGATGTTACCTTGGCTACAAGAACGATTTCTGGTAAATAAAACAATAATATCTAAAGTTTTTTATAAATAATAAAAATGTGATTTGCTTGTATACACGTTGAAAGGTAAGAAAGCTAAGCCTATTTGTGTGGGATTACCTGGTGGCTATTCAAAGTTCTGTGGACGTGTATATGGTCTTTCGAAATCTAAAGAAAATTTCAAAGCTTGCTTAGGATTTGAATTGCGTGCAGAAGATGAAATTGAGGCTGCATTGCGTGTATCGTGTTTCAAATTTGGACCGGAAGGTTTAAGAGTAGCTGATGCTGAGCCATTGCCAAGTGAAGTAAACAAAGGCGAAGACGATGATGATGATGACATTTTCGGCTTTGGAGGTAATA